TGTGTGTGTGTGTGGGGGTTTTGCGAGTGGTGTAGTGTTTAACGTCAGTGCCAATACAGCAAAGTGAAGTGAAATTAAACCGGTCGTGAAAACCTGTGGGTCTCACCTGTTTAATGGCGGTGACTGTGATGACGAAGAAGAGCGGCAGTCCGCTGGTGATGGGACTGGTGGGAGTGTCGATGATTAACTGCCGCACACACAGAAAGTGAATTAACTGACGGATGGATGGATTTACAGCAGAATAATATATCAAAACGACAGACAGCTTTAGAGGGGTCATCTGACCTCTGCAGGGAGGCTACTTGACTCTTGTATGATAGGTTACTCAAAGTAAATACATACAGTAACATCTACATGTAAGGTATCTGATGATCATTGTGGGAGAACTATATTATTGCAGAACGCATTAACAACATAAATAAACAAATGTAGAATATTCACAGCAACAAATTGGACAATATCGACCAGAAGGCAAACGTCCAAATTGTAATGACAAATGTATTATTCAGAAACTTAAAGCGTTTAACATCAGCATAGAAGCAAACAAAAGCAGTAGAAAGACATTCACAAAGTCTGCAATTGGTGTAAAAGTAAACAGGAAAAACTTTTACCTGAACCAGAAATATGATGAGAAAGTAGAAGTTGGCGACTCTCCTGAACTGCTCAAACATATTCTTTGGGATGAAATTCCAAAATGTATACTGGAAACACGAGACAGTACATTCAGTCAAACAATACATTGAGTGTCAGTGTTTAAAGTGGGCCACACTGTTCTCAGTAGCTATTCATGTCAAATCACACTTCAAACACAGGGCTCAGGGTGACATGGAGACAATATGTGGCTTCTTGAAAATCATTCTAAGTTTCAAATGGCCCATATAACCACACACACACACGCAGCTCTGCTTCTTTTCAACACTGTGTCCTGCTATCAAGAATAACACTCCAACAACAAAATAGAAGCTTGAATAGTGCTATAGTAAAATCTCTTCTTTCAACTCATGTATTCGTGCTCCATTATCAAAGCTGCTTCAGTAAGATCTGAATAAAGTGTGTGGGTGTTTTCACTGACCTTGGAGGAGACTATTCTGTTGTCAGGGAATCTTTGTTGTATAAAGGCCTCAGTTCCTGGAGGAGGCTCCTTGTGTCCAATGTAAATGGTCCTGCTGTCCACCCAGTTCTCCTCACCAACACACTGCAGGGAAAAACAAAAACACGTTTGAGTGCGTGCTGGAGCATGTTTTATTTTAAACAAAACATCCAACATGTGGACAATCAAACATAATTTGTCATTTTTATTGGACTCCAAAATGAAAAAAGGTTTTCATGGGAGGTAAATAACGTTATGATGTTCCCACACTGTCACTCAAACACACACACACGCTATCAAAACACTCCTACACACTAAGAACAGAATACTGCGTGACACACAGAAACAGATTCGCAGACGTTTGCAGAGACTGAATGAGTAATTTCTCCTCAATGAATGAGAGCTTTTGTTACCACGGATACACAGACCTGCATGTGACTTAGACTGGAATGCAGGATACACACACATGCGCGCACACAAACACACACTCCCACACACACACACACACATAACGGCTGATAAGACACCTGAAGGCTTTTGCTCTTTTCACATATTTGTTTTCCCTCTCATTAAAATCTTATCATCATGATGACAACCTGACATTCTGAGTGATGTCACACAAATTCATATCAAATGTAATGACTTCATTGAAGACAACGGGCATATTGGCCATTTTTTACTTATTCTTTCACTGTATGCCAGAAACACAAATTCTGAAAACTCTGGAAAATAAATGTTTTGCTCCAAGAAGCAGTATAGTACATTTGCCACCAGATATGACCAGTCATACAAGTTGTTACATGTAGTGTAGAGGTCATTGGTGGCTGCCAGTGCTTCTCACTAATGGTCCCTCTGATATGTGAAATGAAATACATTTGAAAAATATATGACGCTAAACACAACATGTAAAACATGTAGAAAATTAAACATTTATGCTTATTGTGGAATACAAAATCACCTCTAAAGACAAACTTTTTGCCATGGGGATCAAACTCAAAAGGCTTTGTGTGTGCAAGTCTTGACAGGTGGGGTCAAGACACTTTTACAAAAGCCTTCAGCAATTTAGTTGCCATGTTGCAGAGCTATAAACTTTGATGCCCTGCAGCGAGTAGACACATTTCAGTTTGCTGGTTGAAACTGTTGCCTTTTAATAGCCTAATATTCAACAAGGACGCAGTTTTTTCGGCTTTTTATGCCTTTATTTGATAGGACAGCTGGAGACACACAAGGAGGGGGACAGAGAGAGGGGATGACATGCAGCAAAGGGTGCTGAGCTAACCGGGCGCCCATCTTCTGCTCCTTTTTGCATTTCCTTGCATTTTTCCTTTTCCTGCTGCTGTTGTTTAAGTAACTCCACAATATAGAGGATCCAAACAATCATATCTTTTATAACTAATCCCAACATAGTGCGTATTATACAGCTATTTGTGTGGTATTCTAATACTCCAGTTAAACCTTAAACATGCAAGTAAGATCTTTTAAGTATTTCAGACAGGACTAGACTTGTGTTGGAAACGCACACCTACACACACTTTATGACCAGCTGGATTTAGGAAACACACACTATTCAAGCAGGATCTCCATGCAGTCCACAAATCCTATTAAAAACAGCAGTTCCCACAGCTTTATTAAGGCTTATGATTGTTTTCATTATTGACTGATCTGATGGTTATTTCTTATCTGTTTTGGCTATAAAATGTCAACAAAATTGTGAAAAATGCTCAGTACAATTTCCCAAAGAATTGAATCACTGAGTCCCAACTAGAGGGTGACATGGGATTTTCACTCTCTGACATCCAAACCCCAGAAGAATGAGTCCCGCACCGTCCCAACGCAAATTTAAAATGTGCATACAAACAGTGGTTGTAATGTTTTAAATGGTCCTCAGCTTCAAACAGATGGGGCCCTGTCCAGAGGGCTTCCGTGTCGTAGCAGGCTGTAGCCATCTTTAAGCACCAGCCAATTTGAACTGCAGTAACCAGGATGAGAGGCAAGCCTGGACGAGACAGCTGGACTCTAAACACACCTAATCCTCTCTCACTCTCTCTCGTCTATCTTTCCTCTTTTAGTCATGAAACATTTTCTATACAAGTCCAAAGGCAGCTGTCAATCACAACAAATAAACCTGGAGTTAGTGGTTTAACTCGTCGCTAAATGGTTCGTCTACAAACACACAGACCCATTTACACAGGCTAACAAGAAGTGACAGTAATCTGTGGCTTGTGAATGAGATTGAGTGTCAAGAGGCTGTATGTCCCACTTTCTATACTCTCTCTCTCTCTCTCTCACACAGTAACCGGTTAACTCACTGCTCTAAGATTACCGTGTTTAGGATGGACAGCTATTTATATCCTGTGACCTGAAATGAAAGAAAAACTAAGAGCAAGGACAAATTGACGTAAAAATTAAAAATCTTGAAGACACATACAATATATCATCCCTACTTCCCTGTCTTCATCCCTCCCTTCTTTAACTTTCTGACGGACAGTATTGATGCTGGACCACACTAACTGACAGATATCTGATTTACAGTCAAGGAGGAGATGAAAACCAGATACCATGGACAGCTTGCCAACTCCGTCGCCCACACAGTGTTAGTGTTCCTCCTCCGCTCTCCCACCTGCCTGCTCCGTCTGCTTCACCTAACACATCTCTTACACACTTCCTGTTTGTTGTCTGCATATGAAAATGAGCTATTACATACACAGGAACACACAGGCACTGTAGTTGGTGTATAGTCAATTGATATGACATTCAATATTTTATTTTGAAAGTGCTGCTATAGTCTCAATATCCTCACATTTATTTGGGTTGCGTATTGGGCTGTGTAAAAGAATCTTGCAATACAATACGTATCATGACACAGCAATTACAATTCAATATGTTGCGATGTATTGCTATATAAACGAGACAATATATTGCTTTTTTTTTTAAATCATAGTTTTAGGAAAACTCTTATAGTTAAACCAGGTAAAAGAAAGTCTTTTTTTTTATGCAACGATTTTCTTACACTAAGCTAAATCTTAACAAGACATTTGAAGACGTCATCTTGGAATGTTCAGCATCACACAGAAACTTTGGGAATTTTCTTCCCCCTCCCCCCCCAATATTTTATAGAGTAAACAAACACTGAAAATAATTATTGGTTTTAGCCCTAAAGTTGTCACTAATCGGAAAATCGGATAATCTCTAAAGTCAGTAAAGTATGAATAACAAAGTCAAATAGAAGACAAAGCAAAAAAGCATTCTATAAATATTGACCAGTTTTGTGCCTGCAGTACATACATCTAGTAGGTAGACCTAGTAGGATCAAAACATTTCCAAGTTTGGACGAGTAAAGATCAACTATTAAATCAATTGTTTTGTTTTAAGTCATTTTTAAAGAAGAAAACATCTCAAATGTGAATACTTTCTGGTTTCTTTAGTCCTCCGACAGTAAACTGAATATCTTTGGGTTGTGGGCGAGACATTTGAGGACGTCAGCTTGGGCTTTGGGAAACACTGATCAACATTTTTCACCATCTTCTGACTTTTTATAATGAAATAATTGTTGCTGCAGCCCTAAAAGGAATTCCTATGACTGTGTACCTGTGTTGATCAGGTAGAGTGAATAGAGACAGATGGTGCTGACGGAGAACCAGTGGGCCTCCTCTCTTACTGTCATCTCCACCATTTTGTCCCTAATGCAGCTTTATTGGTTTTCTCACCATCTCTCACCACAACCTGGATTGCCTCTAAGCAGACAACCTCTCTCCTATCGATTATGTTTAGCTTTCATCCGGATTCAAGCTTTTTACATGAAAGCCTGTCCGTGTTTAATCAAATAAAATAGCATCTTCACAAAATAAAAGCTGGGCTTATAAAATAAAATTGCCCTGTATTAGCTTGGGCCTTTAGCCCTTGGATGTAAGTGGAGACTTTGGGCTATTCTGGACCTTGATAATCACTTTTAGCGGCGTTTCATGTTACAGGACGCGGCAGGTTTCAGGGGTGTATTTATAGTTGGAAGGGAAACATTTGTGGTCAGGAGAGAGGGATGGAGAGAGGGATGGAGAGAGCTCACAGGCTTTGTTTCGTCTGCTTCACTCAGCACCACATCCACTTCCTTAAAGCAGTGGTAGGAAAGGGGCACAGGGGAGCCTTTCAGGGATCAGACACACACTACACACACACAAACAAAAACATCCCTTCAACATCAAACATGTATGAGAGCAGGCATACACAAACAATGACACATAATGTTACCTCTGTAGTCACTGGTTTACAGAATATATTTAGATGACAGACAAGCCTCACTTCTCCTATTCTTCTAGTCAACTGTGACGTGTGTGTGTGTGTGGTGGGTTGTGGTTGTGTGTGTGTGGTGTTGGTTGTGTTGTTGTTGGTGTGTGTGTGTGTGTTTCTCTAAGTCTCTCTATGAGGCAGAAAGATGAGGAACCTCGTCCAAAGTGAGAACAATATGACTTGAATAATTTTAGGATTTAGATTAGGGGTTACGTTAAAGGGGAAGTGTTAGAGCCTGAATGTGCACACAGGTGCATAGCAGTCATGTGTGCTTTAAAGAAGTGAAACTAACATTGTGTATGTTATTTAAAAATGCATTATGGGCGCCCGGGTAGCTCAGTGGGTAAGCTTGACCCATGTACCAAGGAGTCCTTGGCTGCAGCGGCCCAGTTCGAATCCGACCGCGACCTTGCTGCGTGTCATCCCCTCTCTCTGTGCCCTTCTGTCTGTCTCCAGCTGTCACTATCAAATAAAGGCACAAAAAGCTGAAAAAAATATACTTAAAAAAAAAATGCATTATAACTTTTGAACTGACAGCAGCTGAGTTTTCTTTGTCAAAAACAGCAAATGAAATCTGTTCATCATAAATTCACACATTTAATGTCACGGATACTGGCTTTTAGTATGTATTTACGAGATATACCTAAAGGTTTGTGTAAAAGTGACATTTAGCTCCTAAAGAGCTTTATGGCTGCAAGTAAAATAAGTGTTACCAAATGTTGGCTTCACAGAAATTCCCCCTACTGTGGACTACACTCCGTGGAAAACCCTTACACAATAGGAAGACAAGGGTGAAAAATAATGGATGAAATGGGATTCTT